AAACTCTTTGTAACACCAAATATGAACTGAAGGCAAGGATTATGGCAGCATTCACCGATTTAAGCAAGCAGACAATCCGGGAGAGTTGCAGGAGGTTCCGAAGTCGTCTGAAGGCTGCGGTCGAAGTTAATGTCTATTTTATTGAATAACTTTCCTCTTTGTTACTTCAAGATATTTTTGAGTAATTTTGATAAATATATCTGTTATATTTAATGAGATGCCTGTGTTATTTCTATTTTTGCGTTATTTAGATGACAATTTATCCCTATGCACATTTCCATTGAGTGAAGCATTCCTGAAACTACTTTTTAGTGGGGATAGCGGACAGCTATCTCATCGTAATCACTAAGATTTCCTCGAAATCTTGTTCCATGCAAGTTTGAATATGGTGGTTGTCGAACCTGGGGAATATTTTGCTTTTCCTCAAAACTGCAGCACGTGACATGTCCACTGTTGAAACATCTGCGGTACGGAGAGACGACCGTATTTTACACACTTTCCTTCCAAACACTGCCATAAACAACGGAAGCGAGTGAGAAATTTATAACTTAGTCTGAAATGCGCAAAAGAGTTCAATGTCAATCTGTGCCAAGCGAATTCTCTTTTTGGTACTATAGCAAGAGTAGCAATACATTTTTATTAAGTCTCGCATATATATATATATATATATATATATATATATATATATATATATATATATATATATATATATATATATTAAGTTATATATTAGCATGTTATTTTTATTAAGCCTCGCATATATATATATATATATATATATATATTTGAGATTTAATAAAAACATATGACATATATATATATATATATATATATATATATATATATATATATATATATATAAATATATATATATATATTCGAGACTTAATAAAAATACATATATAATATATATATATATAAAATATATATATATATATATATATCTTAAAAATATATATATATATATATATATAACATCCTGAGCTTGTTCCCCGCCTTTCTCTGTATCCTTTCCCCAAAGATGTCCCTTTAGTCTTGTTCTCTATCCTCTGTAACCCCTTGCGTGCTAGTGGCACTCCCGCCTTGCTTCGGTGAATTTCTTTAAAAAAATATATGTATATATAATTAATAAACAACTAAATCCAAAATTGCCTCATATGGGGCATAGCCTATTTCGGCAGACGATGACATCGGTTGTCTGTCTTATCAACCTCGAAGTGGTATGAGTTCACGTCTATAAAATTAGATGAGGCAGAAAGTAAATTTTAACTCTGTAAGCTAACAAATAAACCCAAATCCAACATGCGGAAAACATCTAATACAGAGCTTAGATATTTGAATGTTCCAGTCAGACGAAAGGCACAAGGCAGGGGTTAGGGAGAGTTGAAGGTATCTGTCTTAAAGGGAGGAAGTTTTATTGAATTTTACACCTGAATATTAACCTTACGACACCAATTTGGGGTTATAAGGAAAAATTAATTTTTAATTTAAAATTAAGAGAGAAACAAAAAATGAATCAAAAAATAAATTTAAAATATATAGATAATATTACATAAGGGATTAAGAGTTAGAAAGATATTAAAGTGGAGAAAAGTTTATAAATTAGAATTAATTTCCCACCAAGAAGTAAATAAACAGTAAATAAAATTTCATAGTTTAGGTAGAGACGTTGGTAGTATAGTGTGGAAGCAGTACATTTTGGCAAACTGGGCGCCATAGCAATGGCTACAGGCAGTACGATGATGAAATGCCATGAATCGCCGAGCGGAGATCTTCGTTGTCGTCCGTCAACGGCCAGAGAGGACTGTTCCCATGTTGGAATCCACGGGACCCTCGATCACACTCAGTCATGGTAGTGATGACGATTTTTTAATAATGTTCACCTAATACAAAGCCCAAGAGCCACTCAATGTAGAGGGTTAGTATGTGGCGTCATATGAGCGTAAGAAAAGCCAACAAGTGAAGTCCTTGGGGCTATGCAGGAAAGATAACGTCTAACTTTAGACTTGAAAAAGTCAACATTTTATTAGTAAATAACATTTCAGTGTCAGAGTTCATTCGAAGACGTTAGAAGTATAGAATTAAAGTAGACTTTAAAAGGAACCGGAAATCCAATCCCCCCCCCAAAAAAAAAGATACAAGGGATAAAACTCAATTTCTGTTCAACCGATTGGAAGGAGTGTAAACCGGACCATAGGCAAACCTATCAAATCCTATTGAGGAAAAAATAAGTAAGTAAACAGTAAATGAAATTTCAGACTTTAGGCAGAGACGTTGGTAGTATAGTGTGGAAGCAGATTATAAAAGGAACTAGAAACCCAATATGAAGGTTTTAGAGGTGGGAAATTTCAATATGGAAATAAGGATTAGTTTTTGTGTTCTTTTTTTTTCTGTCGACATTTGAAATGTTAGAGGGGAGTGATGTTCGTTAGGTAATTAAGGTAAAACTATATTATGGAAATTTGAATTTGTTTTCATGTCGACATTTTAACATTAATTC